TATTATGTTTATGTTTTGAAACAGATCTATATGGGAGCATTTTAAGTGCTTAGGGCCTGTGAAGATCTTAATCCAGCCCTGGAAGGATCCCTGCCGGTAACCAAAAGTATTATCCACGTATTGCAGACTGCAATTCTCATCAGTGCAGCCAATGGACAGGGATGATGAGAATTGTAGCCCAGAATAATATGAGACTATCATCAGGTTAGGGAAGGCTGCCTTAGAGAGGTGCTGCCCATCAGTGTAGGCAATACCAAGCTCAATGGACCAACGGTCTGACTCTGGGTAAGGCAATTTTATTCATTCATTCATTCATTCATTCACATTGCATTTCAGTCACTCGCCCTTTTTCCTTCTGCCTCCCTTTTGTCTTCAAGCCTTGCACTTCTGTTTTTGACTGCAAAGCAATTTCTCATTATGGAGTCTGGCAGAGAGGATGGCAAGGAACTCACTCGCTAATGTGTGCGCATAAAAAACAATAAAGTGGAAGTTGGAAAAGTTATGTTCACTTTCTCAGAGTGTGCCTGACAAAAATCATCATGCTTTATTGCCCTAATTAGTTTTCCTGGTATTTCATGCAAAGGTTCCAGGGTGTTTAGAAAGTTAATAGGGGGTAATAGAGTGGAACGTGCCGAGTGTTTTTTTCCCCTTCTTCAAAGTACTCCTTCCCTCTGCTGATAACAAGTAAGTGGGGGAAAATATTTTGCTTGCTTTAGAAGAAGCAGAAGATCACAGAGTGGGGAGGGTGGGTTGGTGACTTCACAGTACATCTTAACGGCTGTTTGCTAGCTTGCAACTGCTATACTTAATGCCCACTTTGCTCCTGTGTGTTTCCTGAACACTTGTGCAGGAGGTGAGTCTCTGGTTTAAAAAGAGTCACCCGTGAGTGCTGTATAATAACAACAGCCGGCACGGCACATAGGTCAGAGCTGAAAATGTCTCCATAGTACAGGAGCTCTTTGCAAGCACCTCTGTTTGTTAGCGTCACCCTTGGCGTGGGCATCATTAACCTTGCAGAGTACCCAATTTCACTGTGGAGAAGGGGAACCTGCATCAGGTAAAGAACAGCAATGATCTCAGTGATCCAGTGATCCAGTGGGGTCATGCCCATAGCTGTCAAGCGTCCCTTATTTGGCGGGATAGTCCCTTATCCCAGCACCATGTCCCACTTATTGATGATGTCCCTTAAATAAGTTACTGAAGGTAATGGGGCCCTTTCTATGTCCAGCTGTCCTTTGTCAACAACAAATTGTTGCTGTTTTTTGGTGTTGAATATATGCTATATGGTAATTTATGGACCTAATAGGTATCTAAAGCCATTTGCACGCAACAAAATATGTATTTTATCAAAGTAATTGTTGATCCCTTATTTTGGCTGCTGATCCCTTATTTTCGAGGCTCCTGGTCCCTTATTTTCAAATCCGTAAGGTGACAGCTACGGTCATGCCAGGTGGCCCTTGGAGTCCCTTCCAATTTTACAAGTCTCTGGTTCTATATGAATCCATCATACGTGGAGGAAGCACAGGCTCAAAGTCCCTGTTCACCATCGCCCATGAGTCAACCATTCAAATATCACATTGGCCTGCCGCTTGCAATCATAGGCTGGAATGATCCCAGTCTTGCAAAGCAGCACAGGGCCCTGGGGTGCTTTGGGAGACTAGGATCAGATCAGATCCCAGCCTCGCAAAGTGGCTCAGGGAGGGTGGCATGAGAAGGATGCCATGTACCCTTCGATCCCAGCCCCTCAAAACTGAGGCATCTGTTCCCTGTTTGTGGCTAAGAGTAATAAAGCTGTCCTTCCAGGTTTTCGGTAGCTTTCCATTTGTCAGAATATTATTCATTAGGTCTTTCATGGGAAGAAATAGTGATTGTTCTAACTTCTTATAGTAATTAGCTGGGAGACCATCTGGGCCCGGTGTCTTTCCTAGTTTTGATCTTTGTATAGCTTGTTGCACCTCCATAGCTGTTAATGGCGAGTTCAAAATTTCAATTTTTCCTTAGGTATTATGGGTAGTTTATTTTTGCACAAATAATTTTTCTAGATTCTCTAGACCTTCTTTATATAGATTTCTGAAAAAAACTAGTCAAGTTTTTACTAATTTCCTTTGGTTCTTGAATCCATTTGTCTTCAATTTTAATTTTATTGATAATTCTATTTTCCCTTTTCTTCTTTAGTTGCCAGACAAGGCATCCTTTTCATGCCACCCTCCCTGAGCTGCTTTGTGAGGCTGGAGTCTGATCTGATCCCAGCCTCACAAAGCACCGCAAGACTGGTTCGCGACCCCCCCAACAATGCACCCAGGATGATCGCCTCAGCAGCAGCCCACCACACTATGCCCTGCGACTGAGCTATTAAGGCATTCAGTTTCTGAAACCAAAGAGCAGAAAGCTAAGATTTCTGAAAAACCTGAGCAGGGCAGCTGAAATTTTATGCCCCAAAACCACGCTATGAAGGATATCTGTTACTGATTTCCTCACTTATTAAAAAGAGCCTTAAATGCAGCCGCTGCAGGGCTGCCAATTTGTTTACAGCAGAGACAGAGGGGGGAAATGGGTGTCCAACTTTCCCCCATGCCTTTTCACATTCAAAGCTGATCCTTCCTCAAGCGCTGATATTTGCCCTGCAGAGATTAATGGACCTAAATTAGTCATGCTCATAAATTTTCATGGGCCTGCTTTGAATAGGACTACTTTTGGATGCAACCCTTTGACTGTAAAAGTGGCCCATAAGAGAAAGGGTTGAACCACACACACACACACACACACACACACACACACACACGGCTACTCCAATTAATTCAGCAATCCCCGGAGGCTGCATTTCTTTCTTTTTTTTAAAGTCAAGACAAAAGATCAATCATGGATCTCCCCTGTCTCGGCCTTAAGCTGAAAGTGTGGTAATGTCTCAGGATTCATTCTGACATCACTGAAGTTAAGAGGGGTTTAGCTTTGATAGAAGGCTAGGCGAACATTCATTCTTCGTTTCTTTGCAGAAAAACGGAAAACCTGTCCCTAATTTTAGGCAAAAAAGGCACTGGGGGAATCTTCAGGCCAGGGAACTGAATGTCAGGTTGGGATTAAACCTGACAAATTCCTGATTCCCAGGGCTGCATTTAGCTCTCTAGGCCATGCTACTAATTATACACTTTGATGGAACTTGTAATAGATGCTAGACTACCTAGAGAATTTCCTGAAGTGTTTCTTTTCATGAAGTGCTGATGACATTGGCTCTCACAAATGGAGCAACCACAAATTGTTATCTTGATTTTCTCTCTTCTTCTTTTTTACAGCCATGCTCACATCCAACACTCTAGTCAGACAGATGGAGCTAATTACTTCAAGTGGCAAGTAAATTGGCTTAGAGAGTAAGTGTATTTTAACGTGCTAATTGGTGCTAAACTGCCAATACACCCTGCCAATAGATTTTAAGTTCCCTGTGAAACTGGACCCCATACACTCTTGAACTGATTAGCCTGACCAGCTACTTGGCTGTGCAATGACACGTTGGCCAGACTTTCACCTCTGAAGCAAGGAGTATTTATAGTTTTGTTGCCTTAGCTGTCCTTCAAGCCATCTTGAGAGCCAACTGGAGCCTGTTGGGAGACTCTGTGTCTGGGGATAGAAAAGGAGTCTATAATCTGAAGAATGCTAAGAAATTTTTTTTGTAGATTTTGAACTAGGAAATTTGCAAAGATGATGCCAATTTTGAACTCAAATCAGGTTTGCAAATTTAGGGCAAAATCCAACCATAAATCAATGTTCATGATTTCCTCTTGATTAACAGGAGAGAGTCTATGGTATATGCAAAAACATGAAGATCAATGATACCAAACTGGAAATGAAATTCCTACCATGTTGGATAAATCAGGATATCTCTTTATTTATTTGAACCATTTATATGGCTATAATGTTGACCCAATTAGGGTCTCCAAGCCAACTTCTACTATATTTTGGAAAGTTGTTTGTTCTTTATGCATTCGTACACTCCTAAGATAACATAAGAAATTTTTGCAGGATGGTTGGTTCCTGAGACCAAGAAGCAGGTTTCTGTGTTTGTTTGGATACAACTGGCTGTCATTTTGAATCAAGATGTCAGACTGTACCTTTAAAAACTGCACTGATTTTAAAACTCTGCAGATTTTTTTGGTTTCTTAGACTTCCCAAGACTATGAGGCTGCATAATGTAAAACAATAAGAAACGCCTGAATCAAGGAAGATTTAAAACAATGAATGGCAAGGTAGAATTATATAACTTTACCATCAACAGGTACCACGAGCATAAAATGGTTATAAGCCACTGAAGACTCTGGTAAGCACTGAGGTTTTGAGTTGGCATCAACCCCCCCCCCCCAGTCAGCTTCAAGTTTTCGGAGACTCAACACTCTCCATGCCCCCTGTTCTCTCCATCAGTAAGTCTACTTACAGTACATGTGAAAAGGATCTAGGGGTCTTAGTAGACCACAAGCTTAACATGAATCAACAGTGTGATGCAGCTGTTGGGAAATAATGCTCTTTAATTTATTCTGATAATGATTTTAATGGAATTTAATCATTTTGTTAACACTTCTAGCTGAGCTAAGTTTGATGTGCAGTAAAATATGGATTTTGTTTATGATGGATTCTTATGTATGCTGTCCATGCACACTTTATTTTGTAAATTATCTGTTTGTGGTATGACTGGAGGATGTGAGCTTTGCAGTGGTCTCTGTGCAATAAAAGCTTGTGACAGTGTATGAGAGATGGGTTGAACTCTCTGTATAAATGCTATATGTGTAGAGCTGCAGCGGTGCACCAACTGTTCCCATGTTATCTCAGTGGCATCCTGATATAGTACTTGCCAGTTACAATAGGATGATGATGATCGAATCATAGAATTATGGAGTTGGAATGAACGCCAAGGGTCATCTCGTCCAACCCCCTGGAATGCAAGAATCCTTTGCCCAACATGGGGCTTGAACCCACAATCCTGAAATTAAGAGTCTCATGCTCTACCGACTGAGCTATATATGATGATGATTTTATTACATTAAACTTATATCCCACCCTTCCTCCCAAAGGAGCCAAGGGTGGCAAGCAGCAAGTATAAGGCAATTAAAAAAAGAATTTAAAACATTTAAATCTGTATTCCCCAATACAGATGGGAAATATATCAACTTAGAAGACTTGTTGGAAGAGGAAGGTCATCTGCAGGTACCAAGAAGACAACAGAGATGGCAGCTGTCTAATATTCAAAGAGAGGGCATTCCAACGGGCAGGTGTCTCAACACTAAAGGCCCCATTGCTACAATGTCAAGAATGGGTATATAAGGGGTGAGATGCTCTTTCAGGTATCCTGGCCCCAAGCCATGCAGGGCTTTATGCACCAAAACCAGCACCTTAAACTGAACTTAATTGGCAGCCAGTGCAATTCTTTCAACAGTGGGAAAGTGTGTTGGCAATATCTTGCCCCAGTGTGTCCTTGAGCTGTTGCATTTTGCACCAACTCTCAAGGCCAGCCCCACAGAGAGCTCATTGGACTAGTCCAGCCTGGAGGTTACCAGCACATTGTTGACAGTGGTCAGGCTATCCCAGTCCAGAAATGGTCACAGCTGTCTTGCCAGCTGAAGCTGGTAGAAGACACTCCTAGCTACTCTGGTCACTTGAACCTCTAGTGACAAAGATGGATCCTAGAGCACCCCCTCCCCAACTACAAAACTGCTCTTTCAAGGGGAGCATGACCCCATCTAAAGCAGGGAACTGAACAATTGTCTAGACTTGGAAATTACCCACCCACAGAGTGGGTTTGCGATGTTCGGGAGCCAAGCCGTTCAGGAACCAAGGTACCACTTTAGATGCTAAATAGCACTGGGGACAAGCTGATGCTTTGTGGCACCCCCATAGCACAATGACCAGGGGGCCAAAAGACAATCACCCCATCTCTGAAACTGACCCTGGAAATAGGATTTGAACCACTGCAAAACAGGGCCTCCAAGACTCATCCCGCTAAATCGGCTCAGAAGGATCCCAGGGTATCAAAAGATCAACAGGGTTGCATAGTCGTCGTCCCCTCCTTCTCTTGAAGGAGGAGGGACAGTAGAGGGGACCAAGGCTGACTCAGTCCTGTAACTTGGCCTGAACCCAAACTGAAAAGGTTTGAGATGATGATAATGGAACACAGGAAACTGTTTCCTGCTGACTGAGAGTGCTGATCTACCTAGTTCAGCCTTCTCTGCACTGAAAGGCAGCAGCTCTCCAAAACTTAGGACCAGAGTCCTTCCCAGCCCTATGTGGAGACGCCAAGGATTGAACCTGGAATCTTTGGTATTCAACGCATGTGCACAGCCAATGAAATATGGCCCTTTGCTGAACATTCACTGCCAGTTTTTAGATTTGGGGCATTGTGCTAGTGGAGCTGGAAGTGAAAAAGTGGACAGGCAGGATTGTCTCCACTGTATTTTCAGGTAACATGTTCACGAAAGAGCAAAGTAACCCAGCAAATCTTTATTAGCAATTTTTTTTTAAAAAAAAGAAAGGGATCTTATGACACTGATTTGTTTTCTTGCTACATCATGACCTCTTGCTGCTCCAACCTTAAGCTGCATTGATTTTTCCAGAGGGCTTGCTGTCATTCAGTTTGGAAAATAGCATTGCCCCTTATGAGAAGCAAGGGAGGAGCTGCCTCTTTCGATTAACACACATTGTACAAAACAAATAAAAGCAAACAGAACACTGACACGCAGATCCTGCCTTCAAAGGATAGATCAGCAGGACTCGCCATGTGCCCTTCAGATGAAGCTCCAACTGCCAACGACCCTGACTATTGCCCATGCTGGCTGGGACTGTAAGGGAGTTGGAGTCAACGTCTGAAAGGTACAATGGCTTGCAGATACTTGATATCATCCATTCATCCAAGTCAAATTAGGAGCTACATTTCCCCCCAGAATGGGAACAGAATGGGAACTTTGCTGGATCATATATTTTAAGCTAATCAACAAGGTCTCTCCCTGCAACTTACCTCCATGTGCCTACCTTGCCCAACCACCTCTTGAGGGAGTCTGTTCTGCTGTCAAAAAAGCTCTTACTGTCAGAAAGTTTCCCCCCGCATGTTTAGTTGGAATATCCTTTCTTGTAACATGAAGCCATTGGTTTGGGTCCTACCCTCCAGAGGAGAAAACAAGCTTGTTCCATCTTCCATGTGACAGCCCTTCAGATATTTGAAGATGGCTATCATATCTCCCCTCAGACTTCTCTTTCTCAGGCTAAACATACCCAAGTATCTCAACTGTTCCTTGTAGGCTTGGTTTCCAGACCCTTGATAATCTTGGCTGCCCTCCTCTGCACACATTCCAGCTTGTCAATATCATTCTTAACTTATAGCACCCAGAACTGGACACAGCATTCCAGGTGTGGTCTGACCAAAGCAGAATAAAGTAGGACTATGATTTCCCTTGATCTGGACACTATGCTTCTGTTGATGCAGCCTAGAATAGCATTTGTTGTTGTTTTTTACTGCTGCATCACACTGTTGACTCATGTTCAGCTTGTGGTCCACCAAAACTCCTAGATCCTTTTCACGTGTACTACTGGCAAGTCAGGTGCCCCCCATCTTATATTTGTGTAGCTGGTTCTTCCTTCCCAAGGGCAGAACCTTGCAAATTTGACCCTGTTCAAATTCATTTTGTTAGTTTTGGCCCAGTTCTCCAATCTGTGCAGGTCATCTTGAATCCTGATTCAAGGCTACCCCTCCCAGTTTAGTGCCATCTGCAAATTTTATGAGCCTAATCTCTCAGCCTAATCTACCTCACAGGGTTGTTTTGAGGAATAAAATTGGAAAGGGGAGATCTGTTTGTGCCACTTTGAGCTCCTGGGAGGAGAGGTGGGATATAAATGAAACAAACAAACAAATGCTAGCATAGTGATTCTGGGTGCATAAAGTGTCCTCCTGTGCAGGTCAGTAGTAACAGTAACAGTAATAGTAATAGTAATAGTAATAGTAATAGTAATAGTAATTTATTATTTGTACCCCGCCCATCTGGCTGAGTTTCCCCAGCCACTCTGGGAGGCTTCCAACAAAGACTGAAAATACATTAAAATGTCACACATTAAAAAACTTCCCTGAACAGGGCTGCCTTCAGATGTCTTCTAAATGTTAGGTAGTTGTTTATCTCTTTGACATCTGGTGGGAGGGCGTTCCACAGGGCAGATGCCACTACCGAGAAGGCCCTCTGCCTGGTTCCCTGTAGCTTAGCTTCTCGCAGTGAGGGAACCACCAGAAGGCCCTCAGCGCTGGACCTCAGTGTCTGGGCAGAATGATGGGGGTGGAGACGCTCCTTCAGGTATACTGGGCCGAGGCTGTTTAGGGCTTTAAAGGTCAACACCAACACTTTGAATTGTGCTTGGAAACGTACTAGGAGCCAATGTAGGTCTTTCAGGACCAGTGTTATATGGTCTCAGCGACCGCCCCCAGTCACCAGTCTAGCTACTGCATTCTGGATTAGTTGTGGTTTCCGGGTCACCTTCAAAGGTAGCCCCACGTAGAGTGCATTGCAGTAGTCCAAAGGGAGAAGACAGGGAGACAGAAAGGGAGACAGACAGACAAACGTATGTACCACACAGAGACACACATCTATCTTTTATGACAATACTATTACAGGACATCAATGTCATGATACTATGGGTGACGCTATGTCATCCAGAACATCTGGGGTTTCATTCGCCATCTTCCAAAGTGATATATGCCATCATCTGCCAGCAATACCTTTCTGTATAGGAGAAATGGGACAGTCTCTATGCAAAAGAAAAAACACAAGACTCTGTTGTTGTTTTACTTGAGAGTAAATCCAGTTGAACGAAGCAGGACTTACAAACACACGCACAACTATGCATTACTCACACATGCGTAAGATGCATAATATGACTCATGGCTTGGTAAGAATTGATATGCTGTGTCGGGGACCAGAAGAAATCTACTTTCCAGAGAAATTTCGATTCAGATCTCTGCCTAACCACCAAGTGCTCACAGCAACGGTGGGCATCTCATAATTTCTCAGCCCAGCTGACTTCATAGGCTCGCTGCAAGGATAAAGTGGGATAAGCTATGTCTGTTTCCTTGAAATCTTTGCAGGTCAGGAAGGGTACAAACATGATAAATAATGAAACACAAACAGCTGCAGTTCAGCATTCAAATCAACAGTATGGCATGTACATGTTCGGCATGCAACCACTTCCAGATACCTTCGCCTGCATCTGTCATTTCGGTGGCCAAGACTTGTAATTATCCTCAGCACTAATAAACTGGCATTATAAATGTGCAAAGAACAGAAAACCACAGGTCTCTCTCTGCATCCCACCCAGGAGGGACAATGGGATTAGCCACTACCCAAACAGCCATTTATTCCACTCAACCCCCTCCCCTGCCTGCTTTTTCATGTAATAGGTACTTTACAGTTAATATACATGTAGCTAATATCCTCTTTTACTGCCCTGTTTTATGGCTGCTGTTTTGTTTGTTCAGCTGCAGTTATTTTGGCATTAGGTTACTTGCTAGTGATAATCCATCCCATTGCATTATGCTTGAATATATCCGTTTTGGGACTGGTTGGTTTAACTGTATTGATTTCGAGAATGTTATTAATTTGCAAGGCTTCTCTGAAACTCATCCCTCTGATCTCTGCCCCCTGACCCCCACCACTTTGTCTTAATTGCCTGGAATGCAGTGGAAGATATTCATGCCACAAAGGGGGTATTTCCTTCCTCTCAAATCTTTTCCTAAATGTGTGGGATTTTGTGTGCGTGCCTGTATCCATACTTTCATTATTTAGAAGCCAGTATACCCTCTGCCCACTCAATGACATTTGGTAGTAATGGAGGAAAATTCCTGGCCTTCCTTCAGCAATTGTAAACACAGCATAATTAATTTTTATATAATAAACTGACAGCCTTTGAAAGAGAGCAGAAGTTGAAAAAAAAAATCTCTTCGTGAGCTTTGCCCATGTGACAAACGTTGTTTGCACACAAAGAAAATGATC